TATATAACTAATTTGTGCTGTGCACCAACAAGAACCTGCTTTAAATTTCCATGCCAGTTTACAACCCCCATATGTACCAGGCAAGGTTAGTGGCTATTGAAAATACCACCAGGACAGGACTATCTAAAGACACATTTGGTAGTGTGTTAACTATACAAGAAAAGACACTGTATAGTTTAAAAACAAATCTTACACAGCCTTACATTTCAATTTTTTTCTTTAAAAGGAGTGAGTTGTGTACAGGGGGGTTAAAAGCTTGATAGACAAGAAAAAAATCTGTGCTAAAACCACCTTATTCATCATCATCTTCTCCTTCATCTTCCTCCTCCTCTTCATCTTCCTCATCTTCCTCCTCTTCCTTCTTTTTCTTGCTTTTTTCAGCCTTGACGATTCCCTTTTTCGCTGTATTAGGCTTTCCTTTAGCTCGGTAGGCAGCAATATCCTTTTCATATTTTTCCTTCGGCTTTGCAGCCTCCTTTTCATGAGGCTGCTTGTCATCCGCAGCAGTGTTATTCCACATCTTTCCCAGCTTCTTTGCAACATCACCAATGGATAGGCCGGGATGTTCTCCTTTGATTTTGGGGTGATACTCAGAACAGAACAAGAAAAAGGCTGAAGGAGGCCTCTTGGATGCATTGGGATCCCTGAACTTCTTTTTTGTTTCCCCTTTAGGAGGGATATAGGTTTTCATTTCTCTTTCATAACAGCCTTGTCTGCCTTTGCTATATCTTCAAATTTTCCTTTCTCTTTAGCAGACATGGTCTTCCTTCTCTCTGAGCACTTCTTAGAAAACTCTGAGAAGTTGACTGAAACATCTGGGTGCTTCTTCTTGTGCTCCTCCCGACAAGTTTGCACAAAGAATGTATATGATGACATTTTGCCTCTCGGCTTCTTAGGATCTCCTTTGCCCATGTTTAGTTATTTTTCCTCAGCGAGGCACAGAGTCGCCCAGTGCCCATCCAACCATCACTTGCCCCCGCGCTATCTCCTCTATTTCTTATTGTATGTTCTTTTTTCTCTTATCTTCTTTTGGATTAATAATACACTTTATTTCTCACCCACTATATTCATTTGTTACTTGTGTATTCTGTTATTAATCTTTTAGTGATGATGGCAAAGATTGCAATATACATTAGTACAACCTAGTGAAAATTATTACTATTACTCCTTCCATACAAATGCTAGAACTTTAGAATATATTAAATTTATATTTCTCT